ATTAATATTTTAATAATCTATAATAGGTAGAACTTTTAACAGTGATGCATCAAAGTATGATTTGAATTTTTTTTGAATGGTTGTAAAAATCTTTAAAATAATTTACGAAAATAATCAAAATAATTTGTTTAAAAATTCGTTGAATGATATTAATGATATGACGTAGTGCCACAAACATCCTACTTCTATGGTTATCCAACTGATTTTATGGTGGGTTTATTTTGACCCCCTGCTGTCGTTTGAAAGATTATCACAACGCATCAAGTATAAAAGCCTCGTCCATTTCATGAGGTGCACGCGCAGTCAGTGGAGGTACGCGATGCGGAGCGCCAGGCGAAAGTATAAATCTGGCTTAAGGTGTCATGACATTTGTGCTGCCCAATACATTACAAACATCAAAATTCCTGAAAGCAAAGAAGGTCAAGGTGCTCCAGGATTGGCCAGCCCAGTCACCAGACATGAACATTATTGAGTATGTCTGGGATAAGATGAAGGAGGAGGCAAGAACTCTTTCTTTGCCATTCCAGATGACTTTATTAATCAGTGATTTGAGTCATTGCAGAGATGTATGGATGCAGTCCTCCAAGCTCATGATGGAGTCACACACAATATTCATTCTGTTTTCACTGCACCATGACTTCATATTCTATACTGGACATTATTTCAGTTCAGTGACAAGACTTTTGTCTAAGCAAAGTCAGACCTTACTGTCCTAATGAAATCATTCAAAATCAAGGCTTGATCATATTTTATTTTGGTAAAATAGATGTAATCTAGGGGCATTTGCCTTTCATATAAGCCACTTCTGATACCAAATGATCAACTAGAAGTCAAATTATTATATGTTGTTCCTAAAACTCGGATAGGCGACAAGACTTCTGTCAGGAAGTGTATGATATAAAAATAAACAATCAAAATATTAAAAACTTTCAAGGACTGAAGATGATAATGGCAATTAAACAGTCTTGTGAAAAGGCTCTATTGGCTGCAGTGGCGTTCAAAGTGAACCAATCACCTCGCAGCCTCACACCAGTGATTATGCGTGCCATATGTGAGTGTAAGACAGTCTTAAGACAGACGCCCACAGGGTCATGCAGACAAGTAAATCCCCTCAGTGTCTGGACACGCAGTAATCCCAAAACACTCCTCTCGGCTGCAGTGTCCAGTGGCTGGAGGGAGGAACGGGTTTAGCACATGTTGAAATGACATATAACAATAATAATAATCCTCCCTCTAGCACTAAATTCTCTAAGCACTAACAGTTCATTTATTACTCTTCCTGTTGAATCACTGTATGCCTCCCCAATTGTGAGTCGCTTTGGAGAAAAGCGTCTGCTAAACGGCTGATTGTAAATGTTGATGTGAGCAGGTAGAGAGCAGAAGATGGTGGTCTCTCTCTGAAGATGATGGCACTGTAATCTCATGATTCAACAAGCCGCTGATTTAGTCGCTCTAATTCTATTAAGGGTGAGAGGAGAATAACCTGCAGCAGAGAGACAGAGACGTCAACTAAACACTGCAATAGAGGAAAGAGGACACCTACCTGCCTGTCTGCCTGTCTGTCTGCCTATCTGTCTGTCTGTCTGTCTGTCTGTCTGTCTGTCTGTCTGTCTGCCTGCCTGCCTGCCTGCCTGCCTGCCTGCCTATCTATCTATCTATCTATCTATCTATCTATCTATCTATCTATCTATCTATCTATCTATCTATCTATCTATCTATCTATCTATCTATCTATCTATCTATCTATCTATCTATCTATCTATCTATCTATTCTTCAAAAGATCTTATTTTGTGTTTAACAGAAGAAAGAAACTCAAACAGGTCTGGAACAAGTAAAGGGTGAGCAATTAATGACAAAACTGTCATTTTTGGGTGAACTACCTCTTTAAGAAAAAGACCATGAAGAAGAGATCTATATACACTCAACATGCCACTTTATTAGGTACACCTTACTAGTGCCTGTCTGTCTATCTATCTTTTAACTTATTTTCCTATTCGTCTATCTATGACCTATGTATCTATCCATCTTCACAAAGGAAGACATTTGAAGAATGTTACAAATCGGTAACCACTGACTTCTACAGTAGGAAAAACAAATACCATGGAAGTCAACAGCTACAGGTTTTCAACATTTTACAAAATATCTTTTTTTTTCTTTAGTTCACCAGATCTGTGACAAATAAAGAGAGATTAAACGATGACAGAATTTTCAGTTTTGGGTGAACTGTCCCTTTAACTGGCCTGTTCATCCATCCATCTACCAACCACGCTATCAATCTATACATTACGATGCTGAAATTATGACAGCGACAATTCACACAAAACGAAAACTGACAAACTATTTACTGTCCCTTAGGTGGTTCCATCCCTTGATGAGTTGGTTAAACATACAAGAACATATTTTGAAAAAAGCTGAAAACCCAAAAGCAAAACTTAAAAAAAAAAAAAACACTATAAACGTCAGTGGTTACAGGTTTCCAGCATTCTTCAAAAGATCTTATTTTGTGTTTAACAGAAGAAAGAAACTCAAACAGGTTTGGAACAAGTAAAGGGTGAGTAATTAATGACTAAATTGTCATTTTTGGGTGAACAACATTCACAATGAAGTATCTCATGACAGAAAAGCAACACTACAGACTCGATGGTCTCTGCTTTAAGGCTTGTTCCTCAGCACTAAACTACAACTTGTCAGCATTCTTTGAAATATCTTCTTTTGTGTTTAACATTAGAAAGAAACTCAAACAGATTTAGAAATAGTAAAGGGTATGTTAATAATTTTTGAGTGAACTACCCCTTTAAGAAATTACAAATAAGACAATGAAGGACAGATCAGACTAGAGAGTAAAACACAACACAACAGACTCAATGGCCTCTGCTGTAAGACTCGCAACTCAGAACTGATCAACAGGTTTCCAGCATTCTTCAAAATATCTTCTTTTATTTTTTTAACAGAAGATTTGGAACAAGTAAAGGGCCAGTAAATAATGACCAAACTATTATTTTTGGGTGAACTACCCCTTTAAGAAAAAAAATAAGACAATGAAGAAGAGATCAGACTATAAACTGTGATTAGAAGACCTTCACAATGAAGAGTCTCAGCATAAAAACAACACAACAGACTGATCTACAGCACTGATCTACAGGTTTTCAGCATTCTTCAAAATATCTTCTTTTGTTGTTAACAACCTTCACAATGAAGAGTCTCATGTCAGAAAAGCAACACTACAGACTCAATGGCCTCTGCTGTAAGGCTCGTAACTCAGAACTGATCAACAGGTTTCCAGCATTCTTCAAAATATCTTCTTAAATTTTTTAACAGAAGGTTTGGAACAATTAAAGGGCCAGTAAATAATGACCAAACTGTCATTTTTGGGTGAACTACCCCTTTAAGAAAAACAAATAAGACAATGAAGAAGAGATCAGACTATAAACTGTGATTAGAAGACCTTCACAATGAAGAGTCTCAGCATAAAAACAACACAACAGACTGATCTACAGGTTTTCAGCATTCTTCAAAATATCTTCTTTTGTTTTTAACAACCTTCACAATGAAGAGTCTCATGTCAGAAAAGCAACACTACAGACTCAATGGTCTCTGCTTTAAGGCTTGTACCTCAGCACTAAACTACAACTTGTCAGCATTCTTCGAAACATCTTCTTTTGTGTTTAACATTAGAAAGAAACTCAAACAGATTTAGAAATAGTAAAGAGTGGGTTAATAATTTTTGAGTGAACTACCCCTTTAAGAAATTACAAATAAGACAATGAAGGACAGATCAGACTAGAGAGTAAAACACAACACAACAGACTCAATGGTCTTTGCTGTAAGACTCGTAACTCAGAACTGATCAACAGGTTTCCAGCATTCTTCAAAATATCTTCTTTTATTTTTTTAACAGAAGATTTGGAACGATTAAAGGGCCAGTAATTAATGACCAAACTATTATTTTTGGGTGAACTACCCTTTTAAGAAAAACAAATAAGACAATGAAGAAGAGATCAGACTATAAACTGTGATTAGAAGACCTTCACAATGAAGAGTCTCAGCATAAAAACAACACAACAGACTGATCTACAGGTTTTCAGCATTCTTCAAAATATCTTCTTTTGTTTTTAACAACCTTCACAATGAAGAGTCTCATGTCAGAAAAGCAACACTACAGACTCAATGGACTCGGCTGTAAGGCTTGTACCTCAGCACTAAACTACAACTTGTCAGCATTCTTTGAAATATCTTCTTTTGTGTTTAACATTAGAAAGAAACTCAAACAGATTAAGAAATAGTAAAGGGTATGTTAATACTTTTTGAGTGAACTACCCCTTTAAGAAATTACAAATAATACAATGAAGGACAGACTCAATGGCCTCTGCTGTAAGACTCGTAACTCAGAACTGATCAACAGGTTGTCAGCATTCTTCAAAATATCTTCTTTTATTTTTTAACAGAAGGTTTGGAACAAGTAAAGGGCCAGTAATTAATGACCAAACTATTATTTTTGGGTGAACTACCCTTTTAAGAAAAACAAATAAGACAATGAAGAAGAGATCAGACTATAAACTGTGATAAGAAGACCTTCACAACGAAGTGTCTCAGTATGAAAACAACACAACAGACTGATCTACAGCACTGATCTACAGGTTTTCAGCATTCTTCAAAATATCTTCTTTTGTTGTTAACAACCTTCACAATGAAGAGTCTCATGTCAGAAAAGCAACACTACAGACTCAATGGTCTCGGCTGTAAGGCTTGTACCTCAGCACTAAACTACAACTTGTCAGCATTCTTCGAAATATCTTCTTTTGTGTTTAACAGAAAAAAGGAACTCAAACAGATTTAGAACAAGTAAAGGGTGAGCTAGTAATTTTCTGAGTGAACTACCCCTTTACGAATAACACAAATAAAGGGCAGATCAGACTATAAAGTAAAAGATCTTCACTATGAAGAAACCAACACAACACAACACGTTCAGACTCAACAGTCTGTGCTGTAAGACTCGTACCTCAGCAATGGTCTGAGGAGCTCCAGTGTTTCCCACAATGCCGTTTCCATTGGGCTCGGCAGTGACGGAGCGCTCCACCTCTTCACCCACACCTCCACCATCATCACTGATGCTCTCTCCGCTCTCCTGCATCTCCTCCAGGGTGATGGTGAACTGGGCGAGGGTCCGTACCATCTGCAGCATGCGGCATGCGTGTCCCCCCCGCCCCGCAGACGGCGGCAATATAACTACCCCTAGCCCAAAATCCCCTGACCCAGCAGCTCAATCACGCAGCAACAGGCTGAAGAAGAGTCAGATCAGCTCCATAAGGATGAATGTATATGAAAATAAAGCTTTAAATCCAAGACCCTTTAAAAATCCCAAGAGCTGGACAGGGAGACGTATTTGAAGGCTTGTGTAATGTCGTTCGCTCTCTCCTTCTGAGGCAGGTAGACGGAGAAAGAGAGAGAGAGAGACAGTAAACACAGAGAGAGAGAGAGAGAGATCAGTGTGTAATGAGAGGCAGCAGCTCTCCAACAGCTGATCTCAGAGCAGCGCTTACAGACAAGGCCAATCCATGACTGATCACATGCTGAGCGGCTGGATTGGCTCAGGCTGGAGAGGATGGAAGCTGAGAGGTGTGGCTGTGTCTCTATGGCAACCAGGAGGCGGGGACTTGATTGACTGACAGAGAGATTCTCCTATTATGTATAGAAGTCAGAAGTATTAGCTCCTCTGAATGATTAGCCCCCCTGTATATTTGTTTTCCCCAAATTCTGTTTGACGCAAATAATAACACATTTCTAAACATGATTAGCATGGTAAATGTTAAAAAACGCAGCATTAAATGGGCAAGAGATAGGGTATAAGTAAGGTAAATGTTCAAACTGTGAATTACTTGAATAGAAATGGCTCCTGGTGTCACGGTGGCGCAGTGGGTAGCACGATCGCCTTACAGCAAGAAGAACGCTGGTTCACATTTCTGTGTGGAGTTTGCATGTTCTCTCCGTGTTGGCGTGGGTTTCCTCCTGGTGCTCTGGCTTCCCCCACAGTCCAAACACATGCGCTATAGGGGAATTGAATAAACTAAATTGGCCATAGTGTATGTGTGTGAATGTGAGAATGTATGGGTGTTTCCCAGTACTATACCAGGGTATTACCATGGTAATTTCATATCAAACTAGGACATTTACTGTTACTGAGATAAATGTAAAATAAAAACTCCTGGCTTTACTATGGTAGATGTCAAATAAACAGCGTATTACTATGGTAATTGTCACATCATTACGATGGGTGTTACTATAATATTACCAGGTTACTACCTTGGTATTATCATATCAAACTAGGACATTTACTGTTACTAAGACAAACGTCAGAAGTAAAAAAATAATAATAAAATCTTCTGGCTTTACTATGACAAATATCCAAGAAACAAAGTATTACCATGGTAATAAACACATTATTATCATGAGCCTTACTCATGACTAATATATTATTACCAGGGTATTACCATGGTATTATCATATAAAACTAGAACATTATTGTTACTAAAGGTTAAAAGAAAAAAAAAACTTTCTGACTTTAGTTTGGCAAATGTTTAAGAAACGGTATTACTATGGTTAATGCCATATTATTACCAGGGTATTACCATATCATTACCAAGGTATTACCATTGTATTATCATATCAAGCTAGGACATTTACTGTTAGATAAATGTCAAAAGCAAAAAAGCCTGGCTTTACCATCGCAAATGTCTAAGAAACAGGTATTTACTATGGTAAATGCCACATTAATTATATGTGTATTACCATAGTATTACCATGGTATTATCATATCAAACTAGGACATTTACTGTTACTAAGATAAACGTCAGATGTAAAAAAAATAAAATAAATAAAAATAAAAATAAAAAACACCTGGGTTTATCAAGGCAAATATCTAAAAAATGTAGTATTACCATGGGTATTACCATATTATTACCAGGATATTATCATATTATTACCAGGGTATTACCATATTATTACCAGGATATTATCATATTAATACCAGGGTATTACCATATTATTACCAGGATATTACCATATTATTACCAGGATATTATCATATTATTACCAGGGTATTACAATGGTATTATCATATCAAACTAGGACATTTACTGTTACTATGATAAAGGTCAAAAGAATAAAAACCTCCTGGCTTTACTATGGCAAATGTTTAAGAAACAGGGTATTACTATGGTAAATGCCATATTATTACCAGGGTATTAACATATTATTACCAGGGTATTACCATTGTATTATCATATCAAGCTAGGACATTTACTGTTACTAAGATAAATGTCAAAAGCAAAAAACGCCTGGCTTTACCATCACAAATGTCTAAGAAACAGGGTATTACTATGGTAAATGCTGCATTATTAACATGTGTATTACCATATTATTAACAGGGTATTACTATGGTATTATCATATCAAACTAGGACATTTACTGTTACTATGATAAAGGTCAAAAGAATAAAAACCTCCTGGCTTTACTATGGCAAATGTTTAAGAAACAGGGTATTACTATGGTAAATGCCATATTATTACCAGGGTATTAACATATTATTACCAGGGTATTACCATTGTATTATCATATCAAGCTAGGACATTTACTGTTACTAAGATAAATGTCAAAAGCAAAAAACGCCTGGCTTTACCATCACAAATGTCTAAGAAACAGGGTATTACTATGGTAAATGCTGCATTATTAACATGTGTATTACCATATTATTAACAGGGTATTACTATGGTATTATCATATCAAACTAGGACATTTACTGTTACTAAGATAAATGTCAGAAGTAAAAAACTCCTGGCTTTACTATGGTAAATATCTAAGAAATGTAGTATTACCATGGTCATTGCAACATTACCAGGCTATTACCTTTTCAGACCAGAACATTTGCTATTACTTAGATCAATATAAAAAACCTCCTGGCTTTACTATGGTAAATGTCAAAGAAACAGGGTATTGCCATGGTAAATGCCATACTATTACCAGGGTGTTACCATATTATTACCAGGGTATTACCATTGTACTATAATATCAAACTGGAATGTTTACTGTTACTTGGATATATGTAAAAACATCTCCTGGCATAACTATAGTAAATGTCTAAAAACCAGGGTATTACTGTGGTAAATGCCACATTTTTAACATGGGTGTTACCATATTATTACCACGGTAGAACCACGGTATTATCATATCAAACTAGATCATTTACTGTTACTAAGGTGAATGTTAAAATTAAAAAAACTCCTGGCTTTACTATGGTAGTAGATGTCTAAGAAACAGGGTATTATGGTAAATGGCACATTATTAACATTAGTATAACATGGGTGTTACCATATTATTACCAGAGTATTACCATATCAAACCGGAACATTTACTAATACTTAGATAAATGTAAAAAAAACCCTCCTAGTTTCACCATGACAAATGTCTAAGAAACAGGGCATTAGCGTGGTAAATCCCATATTATTACTAGGGTATTACCACATTATAACCAGGGTATTACCATGGTATTATATCAAACTAGAACATTTACTGTTTTTTAAAATGAATGTCAAAAGAAAAACTCCTGGCTTTACTATAGTAAATGTGGTAAGAAACATGGTATTACCATGGTAAACATGCAATAATGCATTATATCCCAAATGTCTACAGCCATAGTATTAGCATAACCAAACAACAAACCATTCGCAATGTAAAAATCATCCAGACAACCACAACACTTCTCTTTCCAATAATCACTTCCAGACTCTCACTTTCAACTTTTTTTTCTTCCTCTGTTCTACTCATGTCAAATCTGCGCTTTAAACCTACTGTATTATTTTTAGCCCAGAGGTTGTTCGGCATATTTTGGGGTGGTGGAAGCCATTATCAGCAAGTGCATTCATTCATTCATTCATTCATTTTCTTGTCAGCTTAGTCCCTTTACTAATCAGGGGTCGCCACAGCGGAATGAACCGCCAACTTATCCAGCAAGTTTTTATGCAGCGGATGCCCTTCCAGCCACAACCTATCTCTGGGAAAACAAGTGCATTTGTGCTGATGCATTATTGACCTGCATAGAGGCTTTATAAACACCTGAGAAGACACTGTCTAACCCAGTCATCAACGTAGGATCTCACAGCTTGGCACTGGCAGGTCAGGCCTTGCCTTCGGAAAGCACTTGCAGTCATGAATAATTAAGAAGCCGGCTCTTCTCATAGGATAAGAAAACTCAGCTATGAATAATAATGAGAAACCGACACGTCATCACTTCCTTAGAGTTTTGCGCTATGTCGCTGATTTTGATCCTGCCCCAAAAATCATTTTAAACCCGGAAGATGAAATTAGCTGACAAAAGCTCAAAATTATCCAGTTTTCCCCCACAATTACAAGCTAACAAATGCTAACATTGTCTTAATATATGCTCAACACACACAAATCTGTTAAAATTTTAAAAAAGTACTCGAGGGTTTCGTGAACCTTTAAGAATATTTCAATTATAGCCATTTTAACAGATTAATAAAAAGATCAGAATGTGAAAATGCATATCTTAAATAAATAAATAAATAATAATAAAAGTTAACAAAAAAGTGCAAGGTAAAGAGTAAGAGAGGCTGCGATTTCTGCTACCAGATCTATTATCAGCTGTCAGACTTCCACATGAAAATATGTATCGCGAAATTAGCTCAGTTTATGAATATTAATGATTAATAATCACAAGTTATTATAATTATGAATATTCAGAATTAACTTATAGTTAATTAATCAAAATAAATATAACAATGACCTTGCCTGCTTGTCTGAGCGGACTCTGTAATTTTTTATTTATTTACAAAGGGAATTATAACTACTTCCTAGTGAAGTAGATGAATAGTTTAGAAGTTTTAGTAAACTTTTTCTTTTTTTAACACGTATTTTTATTGACAATATACATAACATTGTGTAGAATGTGAGAATGCAAAGAGACTTTAACAATTAGCAAAGACAAATAATAATAACAAAAGAAAAATACAAATACAACCCACCCAGCCACCCCCCCATCCAAACAAGGTGTAATCGTCACAAATTTTGTCAAAGCATTTCTTATTTTGATGTTACGTTAAGAAAGTTGAAATGGCTGATGGTAATAATAAATAAAAACAGTAATATACAGAATAATGCACAAATAAATTACATTTACATATATGATAAAACATCAAATTAAAACAATTACATAAATAAGAGAAAGTAAAAACAACAACAGCAAAAAACACTTGCAAAACTAACTATAATTATACAAAATAATACGTTATTAAAGTCTAACAGAGGTAATGTGTCCAGAAATGGTCCCCAAATATAATCAAAGTCGTTGAGCTTTTGTCTGACTGAATACAATATTTTCTCAGGAGTACTATAAGATACAAGCTCATTGATCCAGTGTTTTTTCCAGGGAAGTTTTAGTAAACTTAATAAGCTTGTAGCAAGGATCTATCGTTAAAGGGCCCTGTGTTTCAGCAGGGTGTTTTCACACCTCTAGTTTGGAAAAAGTCAGGAAAGTGGGTGTGTCCAGCTCTGTTTGG